TTATTTTTCCTCCTGGTTTGTGGATTTTTAGTTTATAAAAATGTCTGTAAGAAATGTTTCCCTTCCTTAAGGTAACGAGGACGTTGTCTGTTTCATAAAAAGTTTTAAGGCTTTGTTTTCACACTTCGTGTGTAATACAGCTGAAATTGAGGAATTGGTTTTTGTTTACATGGAAGTGGGGAATCTAACCCCCTCTCCCCATGGCAATAGCAAGTTGTCTCAGCACCGTTGATGGAGAACTCAGTCCTTAGTTGTCACTCCAGCACTGTTGGGTAGCACATCTCCATATATGCTTGCTCTGGTTCTGGGTGCCCTGTTCTGTGGGCCTTTTGCTTATCTCTGTATAATACTACATGCTTTAATTGCTACAGCTTTGTAATCAGTTTTCTGGTAGGATGCGCACCCTCTTCTTATCCTAATTCACAAGTATTTGGCTGTTCTTCATCCTTAATTCTTTGGTATGGTTTATGATCAGCATGTCAAGTTCTATGAAAAATCTTACTGAAATTTTGATTAGAATTGCATCAACATTATGGATTAATTTATAGGAGAATTATTATCTTTATGGTTGTGAGTTTTCACAAAAATGATTGTAGTATATTTTACCATTCATTCAGGTCTTCTAAAATGCTCACTTTTTGTGTGATTAATGATTTCTGCTTTAGCTCAATAAAAACTTATCTGGGACATTTTTTTTTCAGATTTACTTTTAAATATGAAATTGTTGAAATTGTATTGAAAAGGAAAAAAGGGGAAAAAGTAAGTGTATCAAGTAAAATCTTAGTTAAGTTTTAATGAAGCCTAACTAGCCTTTTAGTTCCTTTATTTGATCAATATGACACAAAAGTGTCTGTTTGGATGTTATTAAATATTTATGTTTGGAGTTCTTTTATTTGATAAAATGGAGTAAGGGAGCTAACCCCTTGGAATAGGAGTCAAGAGGCTAGGGCTGGGGTCTGGCTGGGTCACTTACATGTGACCTTGGTGAGTTCTTTGTTCCTTTTCACCTTGGCTGCTTAAATTCTAAACACCAGTTGTGGTGGAGATATAGGACTAAATGAGAACATATTGAAAGCATTATTTGAGCTATGTAAATATAACAAAGATTTATTACTTTCTTCTTTTTCATTTTAGGAAAAAGAAAGAAAGAAAAGAAAAGAAAGCTATGTCAGATTTCATTTTGGAAAATGAATAAATGCACTCCATCTCGTTTTCATTGATGTTAAGTTAGGACGTTAAGGGATCTAAGAATCTGAGCCAGAAAAAACTGAACACTAAATTACTATATTGCATTTACCCAGACATTAAAATATATCTATGCATTTTAGAATTTTGTACAAGGATTGAAGTTTAGTGTTTTCTGATTAAAAAAGACAGTTAATTAGGAAAAACATGATCAGATTCCATATTCCCCAAGTGTTAGTGTCGAAGGTTGTACTCTATACATTATTAATGATTCAAGTTTTAAACAATTTCTCTTTTTTGAATCACAGTGAGATATGGTGGTACTTTCTAAAAACACTGAAATCTTATCTGTGCTTTTTGCAGTTAAGGATTTAACAAATGATAAAACCCAACTTTTCTGTACTTTGTAACTATCCTTAAGTGTTTGCCTATGTGTGGTTGTGTTTGTTTGCAAGTAAGTGTTAGAATAAAAACTTGGGTTTTCATGTAATATGAAAGTGGAAAACGCACCCTATTTCAAGTCTGAAGATTTGGGTTCATTCTGACCCTGCCACTTGCACAGGCTCGGAGATCTTGGGTAATTTCCTTTATCTCATCATGCCTCCCTTTCCTTTCTTTTTTTTTTTTTAATTTGAAAAATGAGAATGTTTATTTACTTCATCAAGGTGTTTGGAAATCACCTAATGTATGTTGTGATACCTAGTTGTCAGTAGTAGATATGAAGGATGTAGATGGTAAAGTTTTGCCAAACTTTTTAGTGGCAGAAGTAATGGCTGAGTCTCATCAAAATGAGTTCTGGCTTCAGAAATGTTAGTGTGTTTGGAATTATTTGGGGTCTTCCGTTTTTCTTTTTTTTGAGTATATATTGAAGTTTGAGGGGATATGACACATGTTGTCTGTCAAGATCACAGTAACCCGAAAAAGGGAAATATGGGCTAAGTAACATGATTGGATTGAGTTACCTTTCTCAATATTATAATTATTATAATAATTTCTCAGAATTATAATTATTATAATTCAGGAGGCTGAATTATAGTTCTCTTCCACTTCTTCGTTTGTTGGGCCCTTTATCTTGCAGGTAAAATAATTTAAACTCATACATGCATTATTCCTACCATGTGTCTGTGGCATAAATTAGAATCCAGTCCTGTTTTTTATATACTTTTTTTGGCTAATAGGAATTTGATAAAAGCATTTTTTTTCCCATTTGATCCAAGAACTGAAAAACCAAAATTAAGAAATGTAGGGTGTTAAAATGTAAAAGCGTCCTATCTTCCCCCAAAAGCATCACTCCTCTCAATTGAGGGCTTTATTTTGTCTGTCTTTTAGTTTGCTTGTTTGAAAACTTGCAACATAGGGTGTCCAGTAGTTTAACAGGAGAAACAAATTCAGGTGATTTTTTTGCATGTGATCTTAA